AATCTAATTTGCCCGGTCATCTTTCCTATTGCCGCTTTATTGCTCTGTCCCAAAAGCTTGGTCCCAAAGCCAAGTTTTTACCATTCTTCTACAGGACAGGAGGGAGGGGGCCAACCTGATCTCACCAGGAGGGGAGTTCCATAGCTGGGGAGCAATCACCGAGAAGGCCCTGTCTCTCATCCCCACCAATTATATGTCACCTTGTCATGCCCAGTATTTTAAAATTTTAATTGTTACATTTGGCCCTGCCATAGGTTTTTAATGTGTCGTAGTGTTATTGTCTTGTTTATTGCTTTGTTTATGAGTTATTTATTGTCTGTATTGCTGTGTTGTTTTATTGATGTATTTGGGCTTGGCCTCTTGTAAGCCGCACTGAGTCCTCCGGGAGATGGTATAAATAAATAAAGGATTATTATTATTATTATTATTATTATTATTATTATTTGTGCCTGTGACAATGACGGGACAGAAAGCAGGGCCTCCCCGGAGGATCTTAATCTCCGTGATGGTTCATAGGGGGAGATGCGTTTGGACAGGTAATTTGGGCCGGTGCCGTTTAGGGCTTTATAAGTCAAAGCCAGCACTTTGAATTGTGCCCGGTAGCAAACTGGCAGCCAGTGGAGCTGGTGTAACATGGGAGTTGTATGCTCCCTGTATGCCGCCCCAGTTATTAACCTGGCTGCCTCTTTTTGGACTATTTGAAGCTTCCGAGCAGTCTTCAAAGGCAACCCCACGTAGAGTGCGTTGCAGTAGTCTATCCTAGATGTAACGAGAGCGTGGACCACTGTGGCCAAGTCTGACTTCCCAAGGTACGGGCGCAGCTGGCGCACAAGTTTTAACTGTGCAAATGCTCCCCTGGCCACCGCTGCAACCTGGGATTCCAGGCTCAGTGATTTATTTATTTATCGTGTCATGAGCAACCAGACATTTGTATTACATTTTTAACAAAACAAACAAACAGACAAAACACAAAGTTTGTAAGCTTGGTAGTTGATTAAATGTCCTTTGACCAGTATCTGGCCACTTGGAGTGCCTCTGGTGTTGCCGCAAGAAGGTCCTCCATTGTGCATGTAGCAGGGCTCAGGTTGCATTGCAGCAGGTGGTCAGTGGTTTGCTCTTCTCCACACTCGCATGTCGTGGATTCCACTTTGTGGCCCCATTTCTGAAGGTTGGCTCTGCATCTCGTGGTGCCAGAGTGCAGTCTGTTCAGCGCCTTCCAAGTCGCCCAGTTTTCTGTGTGCCCAGGGGAGTCTCTCATTTGGTATCAGCCATTGATTGAGGTTCTGGGTTTGAGCCTGCCACTTTTGGACTCTCGCTTGCTGAGGTGTTCCATTGAGTGTCTCTGTAGATCTTAGAAAACTATTTCTTGATTTAAGTCGTTGACGTGCTGGCTGATACCCAAACAAGGGATGGGCTGGAGATGTCACTGCCTTGGCCCTTTCACTATTGACTGCTACTTCCCGGCGGATGTCAGGTGGTGCAATAGTGCTAAGCAGTGTAATTTCTCCAGTGGTGTAGGGCGCAGACACCCCGTGATAATGTGGCATGTCTAATTAAGAGCCACATCCACTGTTTTAGTGTGGTGAGATGTGTTCCACAATGGGCATGCGTACTCAGCAGCAGAGTAGCACAGCGCAAGGGCAGATGTCTTCACTGTGTCTGGTTGTGATCCCCAGGTTGAATATCAGGCTCAGTGATGAATCCAGGAGAACTCCCAAACTGCATGTGTCTGTAAACTGTGTGGTTCAATTGTTGATTGGGTTTAGAATCCGTTGCAATGACCAACCCAAAGCTAGGCATAAATCCGCACCTAGGAAGGGAGTCCTTTGAGAGCAGTGAGGGAAACCTGGAGCCGAAAAGCACAGGGACCCAAGGGTGTAAAATATCCCAGGGCCTGATAGCAAGTCCACACACAGACTTGTCAGTCCAGAGAAATGCTCCCCACCGTCCTCACATCTTCCTTTGAAGCAGATCAAGATGGTTCAAAGCTCAAATTAATAAATGCATCTAGTGACTGGCAAATGCTGGCACAGATTTGGATCTGAGTAGTGCTGGGGAACACAGTGTGGCTTCTACGTAAGGCAGTGCTTCCAAGGTGTGGCCTCAGCAGCTGAACTTCCCCCTCAGACAAAGTTTATCTGGCTAACCACAGAAAGCAACCGCCTTTCATTACTCTGCAGTTTTCGAGAGCGAAAAGCGGATTGGCTGGCACTGATGGAAGAGCACCATTTGAAATGCATTTCGAAAGCAAACACAACCAAAACAAGGAGAAGCGGGAAATAACTTCTCAACCCTAACCACATAAAGCCCAGAGTACACAAAAGGAAGGGCTGGGAAGCAAGGGCAGACAGGGTGTGTTTGTATATGGCAGGTCTTGGCAGCTGATGCACACAGGCATGGGATTTAGGCAGCATCTGAATCTCAAGAAAATGAATAATCTGGGGATCACAACCAGACACAGTGAAGACATCTGCCCTTGCGCTACGCGACTCTTGTTGCTGAGTACGCATGGCCAGTGTGGAACACATCTCACCACACTAAAACAGTAGATGTGGCTCTTAATGAGACATGCCGCATTATCACGGGGTGTCTGCACCCTACACCACTGGAGAAATTACACTGCTTAGCCGATATTGCACCACCTGACATCCGCCGGGAAGTAGCAGCCAATAGTGAAAGGACCAAGGCAGAGACATCTCCAGCTCATCCCTGTTTGGGTATCAGCCAGCACGTCCACGACTTAAATCAAGAAATAGTTTTCTAAGATCTACAGAGACACTCGCTGGAACACCTCAGCAAGCGAGAGTCCAAAAGTGGCAGGCTCAAACCCAGAACCTCAATCAATGGCTGATACCAAATGAGAGACTCCCCCCTGGGCACACAGAAACTGGGCGACTTGGAAGGCGCTGAACAGACTGCGCTCTGGCACTACGAGATGCAGAGCCAACCTCAAGAAATGGGGCTACAAAGTGGAATCCTCGACATGCGAGTGTGGAGAGAGCAAACCACTGACCACCTGCTGCAATGCAACCTGAGCCCAGCCACATGCACAATGGAAGACCTTCTTGCAGCAACACCAGAGGCACTCCAAGTGGCCAGATACTGGTCAAAGGACATTTAATCAACTACCAAGCTTGCAAACTTTGTGTTTTCTCTGTTTGTTTGCTTTGTTAAAAATGTAATACAAATGTCTGGTTGCTCCTGACACAATAAATAAATTAGGAAGAACTTCCTGACTGTGAGAGCCGTTCACCAGTGGAACTCTCTGCTCCTGAGTGTGGTGGAGGCTCCTTCTTTGAAAGCTTTTAAACAGAGGCTGGATGGCCATCTGTCAGGGGTGCTTTGAATGCAATATTCCTGCTTCTAGGCAGGGGGTTGGACTAGATTGCCCATGAGGTCTCTTCCAACTCTATGATTTTATGAAAAAGCATTAACACATCAATTAAAACCATCACAATAATAAAAACAATAATTTCGTCTCCAAGATAAAAACATAATCCAATCTCATAATCCAATTGTTCCATGATCCTATGTCTAATTACACTGCCTTTTCAAAATGCCTGGTCGAATAGCCATGTTTTGACTTTTTTTTTTTGGAAAGTCGAAAGGGAGGGGGCTGATCTTATGTCCCTAGGAAGGGCGTTCCATAGTCGAGGGGCCACCACTGAGAAGGCCCTGTCTCTTGCCCTGGCAAATGTATTTATGACGCAGACGGGGTCGAGACCAGGGCCTCCCCAGATTATCTTAATGTCCTAGATGGTTCATAAGGGGAGATGCGTTCGGACAGGTGAGTTGGGCTTTATATGCGAAAGCCAGCACTTTGAATTGTGCCCGGTAGCAAACTGGCAGCCAGTGGAGCTGGCGCAGCAGAGGAGTTGTATGCTCCCAAATGGTGTAGCTACATGGTAGAATAGATGCAGCTTGATCCCACTTGAACAGACATGATGCTTGATGCTATGGAATCCCGAGTTATCATTTTACAAAGTCTTCAACCTTCACTGCTAAAGAATACAGGCACCTAAAGGGCATTTTCCTAGCTGGCTCATCTTTGCTCATAGAAAGTCACTTTCATTAATTTGGCCAGAAATGAAAATAGAAGGCAAACCCAGATGAACATCCATAACAAAGCTATGGTAATAACTCACATAAAACTGCAATGGAGACAAAGACATTTGAAAATTTATCAATAAAGGTTATCAATATGGAAATTATATCTAACATCAAAAAGATTAGAGAATATAAATACAAACTATTCAAAAAATTGATGGAGAGGATGCCAAGAATCGGGGACATATATACCTATGTGGTGGCAATGTAAATATGTAAGTAATTTTGGGGGGAAGGTTTTAGAGGATATAATGAACATTAAAATAGAAAGAAGTCCTAGCATGGTTTTATTATCATTATATAATAAACTGAAAAAAGAGGATAAAGATGCAATAAAAAAACTTATTAAAAATAGCAAAATTGCTTACAGCAAGAAAGTGGAAAAGGGAAAGAAATATACAAATAGAGGAGTGGTATTTATTTACAACATATAAATGTTGTAAATAAATAAATAAATAAATATAAGGAAGTATGGAAATTGGCAATAAATGATAAGCTGACATTTAAATTAAAAGTTAAACGAGGGATATGGGAAAAAAAGTGATTTTGATGATGAAAATTTATTGAAAAATGGTTCAAAAAGAAAGATTGAGAGTTACCTCCGTGACAGGAATTGAAATTTCGGCGGGAAGGTAACGGCGCTCCATGCAGTCATGTTGGCCACATGACCTTGGAGGTGTCTACGGACAACGCCGGCTCTTTGGCTTAGAAATTGAGATGAGCACCAACCCCCCGAGTCACGACTGGACTTAATGTCAGGGGAAAACCTTTACCTAATCTTAAAGAAAAATATTTTTTTTAAACTGTAATGGGAAATAAAGTTATATTGTAATGAAAGACAAACATGTAGCTCTGTAAAACAACAACAAAAACACCACACTTAAACTTGAGGATTTCTTTCAATTCAGACTTTATTCTTTTCTAAAAAGGCATGAACTTAATAAATTACACAACCACCCCCCCCCCTTTTAATAAATTCTTCACAAAATAGAGTTTACAATTTGTAAGGAAAAACTTTGAAAGTTTGCTTTCCGAAGTGCTGATGAGCATCGCAACTTTCGTTACGCTGGTGGATTGTTTTGTAGCTGCTACAATAAGTGTTGATTTCAGAGATTTTACAGAAACCCCAAAAAAACCCTAAGCAACAACAAAAATCACACGCACACACACAGATCTCAGAGACAGTTATTCAATGGTGAAGGAATGGAATCATTAAGTTAGCATTCAATGCCAAAAGGCAAAGCACCATGAAGGGAGGTGACCTGGGGAAGCCTCCCCGACTTTAAAAACCAAGAAACCAGTGCACTTTTGGCATTAAGAATTTTACTGTGCAATAAATATGTATTTAAATACTCCAAGTTTTTGCACTATTATGTAAGAAGAATCTGAATGGATCTGCAAATTGCAAGAAATAGCACACAGTAATCCGATTAGATAGGTTTTTTTGAATCATCAATGACTGCCAATCTCTTACAGCTCATATGCTTTTGTTTGACATGCATATTACGGAAACTGCTGAATGCCAGGATATCCTTTACAACTGCCTTTCTACTCACTACATAATCTTGTCTCTAAAGGCACACTGGTGCTTTAAAGAGTAAGGAGCATATTTACCTAGCCTTACTTTTGCTGTCAAAGGACGGGCATGACACTGGGAAGCCAGCCAGAGACATGCCAATTGATAGCAGTTGACATTCCCCTTTGTGAAACTATAGGTTGTTAGTCAGATTTCATTAAATCTTCAAAAAGGCTTTAAATCTAAATGTTTCCTGAAGGTCTTATAAATGGTTCACTTTGCAACCCTTGGAGATCTGGAAGTAGGTCCGACAGATCGCCTAAGATTTGCTGTTGGGTCAAAAGATAATGGGTTGCTCTGTATAACTATATAGTGAGCAAAGGGATATGTGATTCTTTTTTAAGTCACTTGAAAGGCATCTTCTTCAACATGGGTATTTCTATTAGAAATAAAACCAACACATTTTCTCATTGTAATCATATAAGGATGACAGTGTATGTTCAGTTCCAGTGCACTTGATGAGAAAACAAAGGTCAGTTCACCTTCTGTTATGAAGGCTGTGGCTGATAGCATCAGAACTATTTTAACCTAAACATTGAATCCATTTTCAACAACAAATGAACACACACATTGTTTTGTCTTCCGCTACAGGAGTTCCCTATTTACTCCTGAATCAGAGTTTTGCTCCTGTCTGCAGCCAAGCAGAAACAAACTGAAAAGTGCAACTCCTTTTATCCCAGACACAGAGAGCAAGGTGCAAAATTCGCACCAGGAACCTGGAGGAGGGGAAGGCTTCTTAGTACTTCAGAGCAGAAGCCAGGAAAGAGTAATAGCTTCAGGGGGAAAACATACTAGCAGGAGCACAAAAATGCCACGATGGATGAGAAAAGGACACACGGACCATATCACCTCCATACCCTGCTCTTTGTGCTTGGGGCGGCAGAATTGTGTGTTCTGTATGTATTGTCAATAATTTAAGGGGGGGGGGGGAACTCAGCGCAGAACAACAAGTGCAATTATTTTGTGCAGAAACACTCACCCACCTAAATTGGCAATATTTTATCAGTAAAGAATCTGGGGAATTCAATGATACATAAAGGTTTCAGAATCTATTTCTTTTCCAATGGAAATGAAACAAGTATTCTGTCATAAAGACCACTACTACCAAGCAACCGAAATAACATCTACTAAAAGGAAGGGCAACAGTTAACACAACTAGCCTCTATGCCAGGACAACAAATAAAATGAGGCATACTTGCAAAGGTTTCCACAGAACACTGAGATTTCTTTACTATGATTTACATTTATTTTTTAAGTCATCAAGTAAGTACTCTGAATTAAATAATGCTGTATCTCAAATAGAAGAAAGAGGGATATTTAGAGATTATGGTCTAACAAAGAGCTGCTCCACTGCCTAGAAAAACAAAGCCAAAAGGATAATGACCTAACCAAGGTTCTGGCATTCAACAACTGGAATATGCCATCATACTGTAGCCTTCCAGCCTAAGAGATTCTCTCCACAGGAGCCCAAAATTTGAATCAGAGGTTCCCTTTCATAGAATCAAAGAGTTGGAAGAGACCTCTTGGGCCACTCAGTCCAACCCCCTGCCAAGAAGCAGGAATATTTGAATCTCCTTTGTTTGCCACATTTTATGCCACCATGTTTTTTCCTCTTTAGATGAAATGACACACTGGTAATATACTAGGGGTTCATGGATGAGCGACGGTCACCCAAATTCTATACGAGACAAGATAAATAATGGGCATATTTTGACCATATGGAAAATGGAGGGAGTCAAGTCACCCATAGCGACATAAATATATACACATTTGTTCTACAAAGCTGAATGATTTGCATTGCCAGCATACAAATCTTTTCTTCTGTGGGCATTCCAAACTTGCAGCAGGAAACTGGAATGTACAAAATATTCCATAAGGTACTCCTCGAAAGCAGCCACTTAACCTGCCACATTTCCTGGCCAGGTGGATATTACAATGGCAGTGGCTTAGAAATAATACATACGTGGGTAATGAAACCAGAATGGCTACCTTAAGCTTAGTTTACAAAACTCAAGAGAAATGCGATGGGAAAAGATAAACATGAAACCCTGACATGTTACATTTGTCTCAGTCTGGTTTTTACCTCCACAAATTGCTGCACCATTGTTACAGACATAACTCTGTCACGACAGGGAAAAGTACATTGGAGGTCACGTGTCCCAACTGCTGTCTTTAAAAGCAATTTTGACTAACCGGAGTTCTAATTCAAAAGCATCTGGGCGGTCTTGTGGGTTAGCAGCAAGCATTTCCTTAATGAGCTGTTTCATGCGAGCATTCATTGTCTTTTTTTTAACAGGAATGTGCAGTTCCATTTTCGGATTTTCTAGCAACGCTTCTCCGACAGGCACAATCTCGGTCCCTTGCCTGACATAGCTTCCCAGCAGCTCTTTCTTTGTCTCCGTGTCTATGAAAGTGATCCTTTCCAACATTGCCCAAATTATAATCCCCAAGGCAAAGATATCTGCTTTCGCTGTATAATGGCCTTCCCAAACTTCAGGGGCCATATAGAAGTCTGTGCCACACGCTGTAGAAAGAAAACACTTGTTGACGTTCACGGGTTCTTCAGGGTTTTGTCCTGAAGCAGAGCAAACCTTGCTTAGTCCAAAATCTGCTACTTTCAAAGTAGGTTCTAAGTCACTAGCATCCGTCCTGCTCTGGGAAATCAAGATGTTGTCAGGTTTGAGGTCACGGTGGATTATCTGGTTTTTGTGCAGGAAAGCCAGGGCACTGCTAAGCTGAAGCATAAAGCTGGTATTGGTCTTCCGGTTTGGCTTTCGGGATAGGAGGTATTCGTTCATATCGCCGCCGTCACAGAAATCCATCACAAACCAAAGGTAGTAGGCGCTTCTGGGATCAAAGGCAATTTCACCTTTCAAAGACGTCTCCACAAGCTGTAATATAAAACATTTCATAGATATGTTCAGCAATTGGGATTCAAGTGAGAAAGCAGATGAATAAACAAAACCTCAATGTTTCATATTTTAGTGTACATATTAAAATTATTCCTGCTGCACTCAAGTTAATTTCTACTTTAAGAAATATTTTCAAGAGACATTCACTGACAGTATGCATCAACAGCCGCCATCACATCCATTCAACCAACCCCTTCAATGAGAACATAGGCTAAGTTCAAATGCTACATCATACCATAGATTCTACTAAATGTTGTGTAGAATTCAAACCATGGTTCGAAATTCCAGACATACGATCAAATAAAGGTAGATGCTCAGTTTCCATCTGCTCAGCATTATATGGTGCAAATAACCTAAGAGGTCGCAGTTGTAATTACAGTTCAGAAATCCACTTCAAACCATGGCCTCTATTTTGCAGGATGACTAAGAACTATGGGGTAAATTGATAAACACTGTCCTTAGTCATGGTTTAATGACAATACCACTGAATGGTTTGATTTTTCCCTTTGCTAATGAAAATGAATTAACACAAAACTAAAGCACACAGTTGTCTCCAACTATATGCCATCAACTAATCTAACAAAATGATCAATCTGCACATTTACAGAAAATTGGAGACTCTCACTGTTATTCCCAAGTGTTCCCAATTTACCAGGCATTAACTGTTGATGCATATAGATCCCTTAGCACAGTGGTTCTCAACCTGTGGGTCCCCGGGTGTTTTGGCCTACAACTCCCATAAATCCCAGCAAGTTTACCAGCTGTTAGGATTTCTGGGAGTTGAAGGCCAAAACACTTTACCTGTCCGAACGTGTCTCTCCCTATGAACTACCAAGGACTTTAAGATCATCTGGGGAGGCCCTGCTCTCAGTCCCGCCACCATCGCAGTCGCACTTGGTGGGGATGAAAGACAGGGCCTTCTCGATGATGGCCCCTTGGCTGTGGAACTCCCTCCCTAAAGCGGTTAGATCTGCCCCCTCCCTCCTGACTTTTTGCAAGTCACTTAAGACTTGGCTGTGGAAGCAAGCATTCACAGAATAAACAGTTTTTATTGGCTTAGATGAGATTGTATAGACCACATTTTTTGGACTGATTTGGAGCACGTTTTAAACTTGGCTAACTGTTTTTAAATGTATATTTATTATCATTTTATGTAATTGTGTATTTTATTGGTGTTTTTATATTGTTGGAAGCCGCCTTGAGTCCCTCTTTGGAGGTCGAGAATAGGACGGGATACAAATGTTCTAAATAAAACATCCGGGGATGCACAGGTTGAGAACCACTGCACTTAGCAGCTATTTTCAAATAACTGTGAAAATTATGCAGCATGCTCAATTTGCTATTCTGGCTACAAAAAAACCCACAAAATTTTGTTCATGATGTCAAAATAAGGGGAAGATATTTCAGAAGAATGCATATGGAAGAATGCTTTAAATATTATGCTTGTGAGGGGAACTTTTGTTTATAATTATAGCTATCTATTCTTCCTTTTCTTTTTCAAGTGCTGTTACACAATCATGCCTTGAAGTAGTGAACTGTACATGTAACATTTTATTACTACTGATCATACCATTTCTTGGTATAGTTATGAGTTTCCCTTGCAAAATCTCTTGAAAGGCTTAGCAAGGTTTCTTTACCCAGGATGGGCCTGAAAGTAGCAGTGTTCTTATCACATAAAGCATCTGGACAAACTGCTAATACTTCTCGGTCTTTGGTGCAACATTATCTATTGTTTTTGAATGCTTGCTTAGCTCCCCAAACCTAGTTCCTCTTTCAGGCACAGATGACATTAGAAAGTTGTCTTTCCAATTGTACACATATCAAATTGACTCTGCTGAGATCAAGCACCTGCATTACTTTTGCTTTACTTGTTTTCCATGAAGATTCATATTTATTGGCATGATTTTTCTGAAATCATCTAGAGTTTCTAAAACTAAAGAAACACAGTAAAGCAACATATTTCTCCCTAAGCAGCACTTTGACACATGCAAACCTCAATTCTCCTTTCCTCTGCTTTATAAATGAAAAGCTGATCATTATCTTTTATTTCTAACTCATTATGTCAACGCTGCTTCAATCCCATTTACCTGTAAATAAAGTGAGGAGTTGGAACCATGGGACATCTTTTGCACCATACCGTCTTTTTGCAAGATGCATTCCTCCAGATGGATAACATTTGGATGTTGACTCTTGATGCTGCTAAGTGCCCAAAACTCACGCAGGGCTAGTTCTACATTCTCTGGAGCATGGCACCGAATCTTCTTCACTGCAACACGGGCAGAGGTTTTCCTCACTACTGCCTCATACACCACACCATAGCTGCCATGACCAACCTCCCGTATTAGATCGTACTTTGGCTGGCTACTCACCATCTTCAAGGTCAAGGTATCTAAAAAATAAAAAAGAACAAACCGCCAACATAAATAAGATTTTGCGAATGAATTGCTATGATGTTCATTACAAAGGTATCCTACATGGACCAGGTTAAAGACTGTATATAATCTTGCTAAAAAGGCGTGATGATGTTTCCGTGTGTCTTAGAAAAATTCCATCAGGTTGGCACACATGAAAATCAAATTCCTTTTAGTGAAGATGTCATTACTTTTCACAGAAAGCATATGATTCTTCCTCTGGCTCACTTTGAAGAAGGCCTTGAAAACAAAGTTGCCAAATCTGTTTTTAATTGACTGATTATAGAATATAATCGCAGACTATTATTTTAATGCTGATGCAACTGCTTACATTACTATCATTTTTTTCAAATTTCTATGTTTTTCATTTTGCATAGTACATTGAGGTGCCCTTCTACCAAAAATACAGCAAAGAAATACACAGAAAAAAGCAAATACATCAGCATCAAAATGCTGCAAATGGGCATTATGCTTCATTTTGTGATGACCATCCAATTGCAAGTCACCATGCATGCCTTTTCTAATACCAGTCGGTGCTGAACATGTAGTAATTTCAGATTACATTACGCAGGACTACTTATATACCCATATATTGCATTTCCAGCTCTGATCGTTTAACACAAAAGTTTCTGTTTTTCCTACAACAATTTATCAGCTACCTTTCAGACACCGAATGATCAGGTATTAAAGACAAGAAAGAAAGTAAAGAAACTACAAAACTGAAACTATCTTGCATATAAGCAAGAAATAAATAATAATGCTTTTTGTATTTCAGACAAGAACAAATGTAGGGGAAGGTACATTTTAGCCTTCACACTAGAAAAGGCTTGGTTTGAGACCTATTGGCAGGAATCAATCAAGCCAGCAACAAATGCTGCTGAATCTAAGGAAAGCAGATAAAAGCAGCTGTCAGAAATATGGCAGATAACAGAACACTGTATTAGATCATTCATATGTAAACCTGACTATCAAGTTCTACTGGGTAACCTATAGACAGGTGACTCCTGGAAATCTTAATGTACTGAATTTCAGAGTCAGTAAAATACCTTTGTTTGTATACAAACGAGCTGGCAACTGTGGAACTGGGATTACAAGTAAACTCTTGCTTTCTCAATCGTTTGTTCAGAGTCTTCTCCCACATCTGTCTGTATTCTCTGAAGATGCAACACTGTTCACTATGCATATTTAGTCTATGCATAGTACTAAAGCATATTCATCATAGAATCATAGAATCAAAGAGTTGGAAGAGACCTCATGGGCCATCCAGTCCAACCCCCTGCCAAGAAGCAGGAATATTGCATTCAAAGCACCCCTGACAAATGGCCATCCAGCCTCTGTTTAAAAGCTTCCAAAGAAGGAGCCTCCACCACACTCCGGGGCAGAGAGTTCCACTGCTGAACAGTTCTCACAGTTAAGAAGTTCTTCCTAATGTTCAGATGGAATCTCCTTTCTTGTAGTTTGAAGCCATTGTTCCGCGTCCTAGTCTCCAGAGCAACAGAAAAAAAGCTTGCTCCCTCCTCCCTGTGACTTCCTCTCACATATTTATACATGGCTATCATATCTCCTCTCAGCCTTCTCTTCTTCAGGCTAAACATGCCCAGACTCCTTAAGCCGCTCCTCATAGGGCTTGTTCTCCAGACCCTTGATCATTTTAGTCGCCCTCCTCTGGACACATTCCAGCTTGTCAATATCTCTCTTGAATTGTGGTGCCCAGAATTGGACACAATATTCCAGGTCTAACCAAAGCAGAATAGAGGGGTAGCATTACTTCCCTAGATCTAGACACTATGCTCCTATTGATGCAGGCCAAAATCCCATTGGCTTTTTTGCCGCCACATCACATTGTTGGCTCATGTTTAACTTGTTGTCCACGAGGACTCCAAGATCTTTTTCACACGTACTGCTCTCGAGCCAGGCATTGTCCCCCATTCTGTATCTTTGCATTTTTTTTTCTGCCTAAGTGGAGTATCTTGCATTTGTCACTGTTGAACTTCATTTTGTTGGTTTTGGCCCATCTCTCTAATCTGTTAAGATCATTTAGAATTCTGCTCCTGTCTTCTGGAGTATTGGCTATCCCTCCCAATTTGGTGTTGTCTGCAAACTTGATGATCATGCCTTCTAGCCCTTCATCTAAGTCAGTAATAAAGATGTTGAACAGGACCGGGCCCAGGACGGAACCCTGCGGCACTCCACTTGTCACTTCTTTCCAAGATGAAGAGGAAGCATTAGTGAGCACTCTCTGTGTTCGTCCACTTAAACCAATTACAGATCCACCTCACCGTAGTTTTGCCTAGCCCACATTGGACTAGTTTCCTTGCCAGAAGGTCATGGGGGACCTTGTCGAAGGCCTTACTGAAATCCAGGTACGCTACATCCACGGCATTCCCCGCATCTACCCAGCTTGTAGCTCTATCAAAGAAAGAGATCAGATTAGTCTGGCATGACTTGTTTTTGATAAATCCATGTTGACTATTAGCGATGACTGCATTTGTTTCTAAGTGTTTGCAGACCGCTTCCTTAACAATCTTTTCCAGAATCTTGCCCGGTATCGACGTGAGGCTGACCGGACGGTAGTTGTTTGGGTCATCCTTTTTTCCCTTCTTGAAGATTGGGACCACATTGGCCCTCCTCCAATCTGCTGGAACTTCTCCCGTTCTCCAGAACTCTCAAAGATGGTTGCCAATGGTTCCGAAATGACTTCCGCTAGTTCCTTCAATACTCTGGGGTGTAGTTGATCTGGCCCTGGGGACTTGAACTCATTAAGAGCGGCCAGGTATTCCTGGACGACTTCTTTCCCAATTTGGGGTTGGATGTCCTCCAATCCCTCATCCACTCCATCTTGCTGAGGATGAAGACTCTCTTTTTGTGAGAAGACCGAGGCAAAGAAGGCATTAAGTAGTTCTGCCTTTTCCCTATCCCCTGTCAGCATTGCCCCATCTTCTCCTCGAAGAGGTCCTATCGCCTCCTTGTTTTTCCTTTTTCTACTGACATAAGAATAGAAGCCCTGGCAAGTCTGAGCTCGGTTTTTGCTTTAGCCTTGCGGACCTTTTCCCTACAGGTGTTGGCTATTTGTTTGAATTCTTCTTTGGTGATTTCTCCCTTTTTCCACTTCTTGTGCATGTCTCTTTTGTGTCTTAGCACAGTTAGAAGTTCTTTGGACATCCATTTTGGCTTCTTTGCACTTGTCCTATTTTTTCTCTTTGTTGGCACGGTTTGCAATTACGCCTTGAGTATTTCACTCTTGAGAAATTCCCATCCATCCGTAACTCCCTTGTCTTTTAGTATCTGTGTCCACGGAATGCTGCTCAGCGTTTCCTTCATTTTTTGGAAATCAGCTCTCCTAAAGTCCAAAATGCGGGTTTGACTTGTCTTAGTTTCGGCCTTCCTTTGTACCTCAAATTGCAGGAGCACATGGTCACTTGCCCCTAAGGATCCTACCACTTCGACCGCATCGATCAGGTCCTCCGCATTTGTTAGGATGAGATCAAGAGTAGCCAATCCCCTTGTTGCCTCTTCTACCTTCTGGACCATGAAATTGTCTGCAAGGCAAGCGAGGAATTTGTTGGACCTTGTACTCTTGGCCGAGTTTGTTTTCCAGCAAATATCGGGATAGTTGAAATCGCCCATGACTACTACATCTCTTTTCTGTGCCTGTTTGGTCAACTGTTGGCAGAAGACTTCATCAAGTTCTTCCTCCTGGCTTGGGGGTCTGTAGTAGACGCCTACAACGACATCTTTTTGAGTCCCAGTTCCCTTGATTCTTATCTAGATGATTTCAAGCTGGTTTCCCAGATTGCTGTCTTGAATCTCTTCTGCAGCATAAGAGTTTTTGACATATAAGGCTACTCCGCCTCCTCTCCCCTTTGTTCGGTTTCTGTGAAAGAGGTTATACCCCTCGATATCTACATTCCAGCAATAGGAGTCATCCCACCAGGTTTCAGTGATGGCTATGATATCATATTTGTGGTGTTGTGCTAAAAGTTGGAGTTCGTCTTGTTTATTTCCCATATATATATATCTATATATATATATATATATATTAAATAGATATATATCAGATATATCTATTTAACTGGTAAAATATCAGGTTTTTAAATTTATACTTTGGATTCTAGAAACCCAAGTATCGCTAACACAGCTTTGCTTTTACTATATTATTCTAAAGATAACAATTCATGTTTTCAAGGTGTTCAGTTCCCACAACCTAATAGAACACTATGTAAGCTGATGCATTTTCAATGCTCATTCCATCTCACTTGTAAGGAACAGTTCTTGCATGTAATGCAAGTACAGTACTGCCTGAGTTTTATGTAACAAAAAAAAAAATCAGAGGGAAGAGTCCAAAACTGCTCTATTTTGACTAGTTGTGCTTAAGGAAGGCAGCCAGTGATATACTTGGATCATCTTTAATGATTATTAAAAGGTACAGGAGTCCAGTTTCCCTTCTGAAGTTGGCAAAGATGCCACTGCTGCTTACTTTGCAGTTCTATATTCTCACTGCAGCTGTATGCATACAGAAGCAAGGCAAACTGTATTCAGTAAGAATATCTTTCTCACATCAAGGATGTGCATGTACCTTCAAGCTACCATCTTATGGTGATTGGTGATCACACACATTTCATAGGTTTTTCTTAGACAATGAATACTCGTGGGGGGGGGGGGTAGATTCAATCTGAAATGTAATCTACAGCCCTGGTTTCTGTTGGCAGTCTCCTATCCAAGTACTAATCAGAGATAAACCTGCTTAGCTTTTAAGATCAAAAGGATCTGGTGGTTTTAAGGATACACAGATTTAAAACTTCAAATTCACACTTCAAGTTTGTAAACAAACAAGAACAGCTGCCAATGGTACAAAATAGCTGATACACCCATAAAATAATCAAGAAACCGGGACTGGCGACAGGTTGTACCAATAAGGTCAAGGAGGAGGTAAACAGTCAGCTTGGCCTTTAACAGTTCTAAGGAAATCAGCAGATGA